GACCAATTTATGTGAAAAGACTAAATATGTAGAATTTTAAAAATAATATTCTACCACAGACAATTGTCTGTACTAGAATTTCATGCTTAAGTTATCTATTTTTTTTATAGACACTTATTTTTCGGAAGAAAAAACCCAGTCTGTCAAAAATTTTGTCAAACAAATTTGTAAAAAGGTAAAAAAAATTCTAATTGGCTTTTTTTTTTGGTAAAAGTTGATAATTGATAGTGATAAGAATGTGAAAAAAAATACTTTTTTAATGGCCTGAGAGGTCAGAAAAGTGAATCAAAAATGCTGATTTTCGTTTTAGGCCGGGGGGCTTCGCCCCCCCTGGGCCCCCTACTAGGGCTCTGCCCTGGACCCGCTGGGGGCCTAAAGCGGCCCCCAGACCCCTCGCCGAGACTGGTTTCCTGCTATTCCATCTATTTTTACTTCTATTGAAAGTCTTATTGAAAATCATATTGAAAACAATGAGAACTGTTACTTAGGCATTTCAACATTGCTCAAAATTATCAGGCATTAATGCCGACATTTTTCAGGTTGACATAGTATATATCTCAAGTCTGTGATGAATGTAAATAAAAAGGAGAATGAAGTACATATTTTTTCCAGAGTAGAGTTGTTATAGTTATTTAAATGCACCCAATCTAATGTTGTCAAAACCCCTGATATTTATAAGGCAAGTGATAAGATCAGTTGCATATCATAAATTTTATAGATTTACACTGAAATAAGGTATCCTACTCATTATATTAGATGACTTTAAGAAGGAATGAGATCTTAATTTGGGGTCAGGGAGCAATTATCCTCTGGAATGTGCCTTTCTCAAGTCTGTATTTTTAGGAGCTTTCTGTTATTGATTCCATTTGCTAGCTATTAATTAAATTGGAAACAAAAATAGTCATTGAAATATAGTAATACAAAGGTGAAAATAAGGAAGGGGGCATGTTCATTGTTAAACAACATAATGTATCGATTCATATTGATTTTTTTTAATCATTGAATGAAAAGAAAAATACAAAATACTTATATATAACCATGAACCATCCATTGCCTTTGACTGGAATTAGCTTTGATAGCTTTGTTTTGATCCAATAAAGTGAAAAGGAAAGGTTGGAAATTGCAATATGCAGTCCAAGAAATGTAAAGACTAAAGAATGCATTGTAATCATTTATAAATGAATATATTTTGGTTTTTAATAATTAAAGCAAAAAAGAAATACAGTCAAATCTCATTTTCTTAAACTTTTGGGATCAGGAAAACCTTTCAGTAGAGATATTGGATATTTGAGATGTAGGTAGACATGACCTTCCAGATCAGTTCAGGTTACTTAAGATAACAGTGTTGGAAATACCAAGTTAAATTACAATTACTTCTAGAATCCAAATAAACTGATAGGACATACAACAGAATGTATGTTGCAAACTAAATATATGGTCTTAGACTTATTTAAACTAATTGGTTATATTTACACACAATAGGTGACTCAATTAGGCAAGTTCCTTAAATCCATAACAATGTATCATTTATTTTTTCAGAAGAGTTCTCACAGTTAGTTTGTATGTTTTTGGAATTTTATACAGATTCCTCAACCTTGAATATGCATTTGGCTTAATTTTTAAGATGTTCAGGCTATCAAAGTTCCTCACAGTGTGCTTACATTTTGTAACTTTGTTATTACATGTATTATGCAGATTTTAAAACTTAAGAATGTGCAGTGTCCCTTGGGCTTGCATTTAAAATGAGTTTCACAAGGTGTGTGTTTTTAATCAAAATACTATTAAGAAAGATCAAGTACATATTGATAGCAGTCCATGTAATATGTGTATTCAGGCTCATTGCATATATATAAAAAAAATAATAAAATAAAATAAAATATTTCCATTGGATGTAATTAATAATCAAACATCTATACCTTAAAGGGTTTTAGACTTTGCCATGCATTTTGTGCTACACTGTAACACAGTGGAACAATGTGGTCATATAGAGCTGTAGAGCTCAGATACACATACATGTATCACAGGCATTAATAATATTTATTGAAAGAATCTATGTAAGAGGGAAGGGACTTAGTCAATTAGCACATAAATAAGGTAAGTCGAGTACACTAGTGTTGCAAGCATGGGAAATGAAATTGCAGCCAAAAATCCTAGTTTGAAAATGGCATCAATAAGTGCCAAATATCTTCATAGAAGCTTAATTGGTAAGCAGGATATACAAATTGGAATACATGTACTAGTAAAAATTTACATGTATCAGGTAATGTATCTTTTGTAGGAATATCATTAAACAAGATCAATATGCTTCCAAACTGATGATATTGTCTTTCACAGGCATTTGTAACCATCTGTGTTATACCTTCTTGTAATTGAATATGATTAAGAATTTCAAATTGTTCTGCTTAAATTGGCTAAACAGAGAGTGAGTGTGTCGCCTTCGGAGATATAAAATTTGTTTTTTAAAACAGCAGGACATGGCTTTCCTAGCAATTTTTAAACAGGACTTATGATATAGGTAGTTCTCTTAAGTGAAACTCTCCCTATTTGGTTTTAAATAACCCCAGATCTTTAATTTTGAGTAATTACAACAAGAGCATTGCAAGGTTGCTCAGACACTTCAGAAGGAGTTAATAGAAAGGTAAGTTTCTACAAGACCAAAGCTTTATTAGGCACTGAGGAATCTAAGGTGAGATACATCATATTTGGTAAGGTTTGATTGCCTTATGTGTTGTAAAACCTTTTTTAAATTAAGGGAAAATCAAAATACTTTATTCTAAGTCTTCTGAAGGACTTGCACATCTAGGAATCAAGACGTGTGCAAGTATCTAGCTGGAAAGGGGGGTCTTGGCAGTATTGGTCATGGAACAGTTGACTTGCTTTGCTTCCCCCAATGTGTGGGGTGACTGCAAGCTGTGCCAACTTGCAACCATGTGGCGTCTGCGCACACCAAGTCAACTGATAACTGAATGTTTTTGTGAAACTTGTAACAAACTGTCACCTTGTTCATATGCTAATGCTAGTGTAAACTAAGCTAATAAGCTTACTCTTGGTGACAGTAATATATACTTTAGAGCTGTACTACATAGTACAGGTTTGAAATATGAAAAATGTTGATATTTGAAGTTTGAGATGTTTGATCTATGAAGTTTGAGATATTAATGATACATGATATGCAAGATTTGATAAAATAAGTTGATATGCTTGAGATATGACATATTGATTGATTGATTGATTTGATTGATTGCACTTCAGAAATGTCTAATCTTCGCTGCATGTACGTAGTCATACAGGGTCATCAGTGTTTCACAAACACATCTTGTTCTTTATACTGAGAAGAGATAAATGCTGACATATGTGACATGTACATTATCTGTGACAAGATATCTACGAGCCTGCTATGGGTTCTGACCACTTGACCTTGACAAACACGATTGACCTTATTTTTAAAAAAAAAAATCAACTTCAGTGATAATTTCTAAATGACATGATAGGTTGTTCATATTTGACACCACATGACATTAAAAAGTGACGTATTACCCACAAAGACACCGAAAGTGGGGGACCACTATTCTTTTGTTTTTGTCACCATTCTATTGAAATTAATTTGGAATATACCAATAACGGCAATCATTATTAAAATATAAGACACTGCAAGTTAAAATTCTGTCTAGAGATCTTATCTTTAATAAGATGGCAAGATTTTGTACTATTTAAAATAATTTTCAACATAAATTTTCAAACGGTATTACAAAATTTGCCATTCGGCTTAATATAAGAAACCCAACATACATATCGACACAAAATATCAGTATAATGTAAGATATAGTTCATAGCACACAAAAACGATCACTGAGATGCAATTTTGAAATTGATATATATATCTTATGAAATATTTTTTCTAAGTTACCGATGACATTTCATGGTCCTTCCATATTTCTTCGGATAACGCTTATCTACATCTCAGTCTTGCATTTTAAGCAAAGCGTTCACAGCATTCGGATTGAATAACATCACATATTTATAAGAATTTACATCATTTTAATCATATTTTGAACTTTTCTGCTACATTTTATGTGTGTATTCTTTGTTTAAAGGAATAACAACATTTTGTTAATGCGTGTGTGACGCTCCTGTTACCTGTCCAGATGCGTTTTTGACGTAATTGACTAAATAGTCGAACTAATATATTTGATAAAAGGAATTATTTGATAATTTTTTTGTTTAAATGTATTTAGTATACAATTACCGACCGAATGATGTTTAGTTTTCTTATAATGAATTAATGATTTTGTTTTTACATTTTGACACCAACACCGTGTACGACGTCGTTGTACTTTTTATTGTTTTGGAATTGTCATTAAATTTCCAATGTGTCTCCAGAGTTTCTTGTTTTTTTACCTCTTATTCAAGCAGAAAAATATTTTCATATGCTTTTTTGTTTTACAAGGTTTGTTATCGGCATAAACAGTTTGAAATTCATACCCCTTGAATTACAAAGTAATGTTGATAAGATTGTTTGAAGAGAGAGAGAGAGAGAGAGAGAGAGAGAGAGAGAGTTTATACCCCCCCATTTTTTCCCCGAAAACTTACATAACACTTTTACCTGAAACCCTCAAAATTCTTTTAATCTTATTTAGCTGCAGAACTGTAGCTCTCCGAAAAATATATATTGACAGACCGAAGAGCTACAGTGCCATCCATTAAAAAAAAGTGTATATTCATTGTGCTAAAAAAAAGTTCGTTGTTTCTCGATTTATTTCGCCGTGTTTTCCAAACTGCCATCTCAAAGTAATACATGTACTTACCGTTTGTTCTTAACTTATACTATTTCTACAATAAAACATAAGATATCTGATGTCCGTTATAAATAACTCTAAAATGGAGACTATTGAAAATTCTCCTTTTTTACACTGTTACTTTGGTCGAGGAGCTAAGTTGGTCCAACGTGCTTCATGTGGATATTAAATGAGAGTAGTTATCAAGATGTGTATGCTACTTACGCGTTCTTCGTAACAGCCAAACACATACCGAATGCTCGTACCAACAATACGAATACCAGTAAAACATACCTGATAAATATTCATACTATTAAAACAATTTAAGTTTATAACATTCAATATTATTCATTGATAATTAATTTAACACAAAAGGATGAGGTAACTCCGGTAAATTGACAACAAATTAAATGTCCAAAGAAGGCGTTGCATGTCCATGTATGGAGAAGGACATTTAACACCTGCGTTATGTCTAAATATAGATACAGCTAGATATACGCAGAGAACTATGTTTACGGCGGGTATTTCCTGCTTCTTCACATTTTTCCTAACATAAGAACTGATTGGCAACCTTTTAATGAACGTTAACCTTTTTTAGCTCACCTGAGCCGAAGGCTCAAGTGAGCTTTTCTGATCACATTTTGTCCGGCGTCCGTCTGTCCATCTGTCTGTCTGTAAACTTTTCACATTTTCGACTTCTTCTCAAGAACCGCTGGGCCAATTTCATCCAAACTTGCCACAAAGCATCCTTGGGTGAAGGGGATTCAAGTATATTCAAATGAAGGGCCACGCCCTTATTCAAGGGGAGATAATTGGGAATTAATGAAAATTTAGTGGTATATTTTAAAAATCTTCTTCTCAAGAACCACTGTGCCAGGAAAGATGAAACTTATGGGGAAACATCCTCAGGTAGTGTAGATTCAAGTTTGTTCAAATCATGACCCCCGGGTGTAGGGCGGGGCCAAAATGGCCGACCAATGTTTTACATAGAAATATATAGGAAAATTCTTTAAAAATCTTCTTCTCAAGAATGACAAAGCCATAATTCATCATATTTCTATGGAAGCATGCTCAGGTAGTGTAGATTCAATTGTGTTCAAATCATGACCCCCGGGGGTAGGACGGGGCCAAAATGGCCGACCAAAGTTTTACATAGAAATATATAGGAAAATTCTTTAAAAATCTTCTCAAGAATGACAAAGCCATTATTCATCATATTTATATGGATGCATGTTCAGGTAGTGTAGATTCAATTTTGTTCAAATCATGACCCCCGGGGGTAGGGCGGGGCCAAAATGGCCGACCAAAGTTTTACATAGAAATATATAGGAAAATTCTTTAAAAATCTTCTTCTCAATCATTTTCTAAAAAATAGCAAATCCATGATTGGTCATGGGACTACTTTTGGATTTAAACTTTACAACAAAAAGCCATTTTATACTAGTCCTACCCTTGGTGCTCAGGTGAGCGATGTGGCCCATGGGCCTCTTGTATTTTATTATGTTTTTAAATTTATGTCACTATCGCCATTTTTCACGAATAAGGTTAGAACATTAAAATCCACAATCAATGGCTGGTGCGCCTTGCACAGCATTTTGAAAAAAATACTGTAGTCATCGTGCAAAAATATTTCTTAATAAAATAAAAGTCCATATTCACACTTATCACACTGTTTCAAATCAAATATTGGCTACTAAAAAACCGACAGAATATGAATCAAAATGAGTAAACAATTGTATGTAAAAAAATAATTTATTTAAACAGTACTTTATTTTCCAAGACAAAACTGAATAAATCATTATGCATGTTATTTGTGCGCACACACTCTCTTTCCCTTAAAATGGATATTTCATTGCATTTCATAGCTAAAAGAAAAAAAATGAAAAAAGACACACCCTAGGATTCTAACCTATGCTCTATTAAACGTAATTGATGGACGTTCATCAGCATATCTACTAGCCATTTCGGACACAATAGTCATTCATTTTTATTTAATGTACACATTTTGCATTTCGTATGGAGAATAATTTTTATTAAATTTTTGCTCAAATTTCAGCTCATATTTAGAAATATCGACGACGTATTGTCAATAAAAAATGGCAATTTCCATTCCTATGTCGATACGATATATCCTGGTGAGCTTGAGATAAAAGATACCCCAGAGTCTGAATACTGCGATATTTTACTTGAAACAGACATTAATGGTAATCTAACAACCAAGCCCTATGATAAACGTAATGACTTTAACTTTTCTATCGTCAACTTCCCTTACTTATGCAGCAATATATCTTCATCACCTGCATACGACGTTTATATATCTCAGTTGATTCGATACGCAATAGCATGCTCTACGTATGAACAATTTCTAAAACGAGGTAAATTATTGAAAAACAAGTTGATAAAACAAGATTATCAGCAGTCTCGTTTACAGTCATCAGTTCTTTTGGTCGATACAATGAACTTGTCAGCAAATACAATTTATCATTAAGTCAAATGCTGACTGACATTTTTCATACTAATTCAATTTGTTAGTCCATTATTTATGCACTGAATTGATGTTAGATTTTCCTTTATTTCCCGATCTTGATATTGAGCACAAGGCGGGTGTGACCGGTCCGCATGCAGGGGATTCTCACTCATCCATGGCACCTGATCCCGTCTCTGATGTTATAGAGGTCTGTGCTTGCCCTGCTTCTTTTTGTATTGTTTTATGGACTTTGATATTGAAAACTGTCGTTATCTCCATATCCTTCATGTATAATTTGGAAGATATAGATCTTTCATCTGGGTAGGGGTGTCATTTTAACATCCAATACCTTTGAATTTCGACCCCGCCCCACTCTTTAAATCCCTTAAAATATACGGGCGCAAGAGGTATATTTTTCATTCTGTATTCTATAATCTGCTTATGGAAAGAAAAGCCTTTTTTTCTTAAGCATCAGGTTGAAAGTAAATCAAATTGTCAAGTCAGTAGCTTTACTTTAATTCATTGTAACAAAGTGTAAAACAAAATGAATATTCGACTGCGTTATATATTTTATCTATAGAAAGTCTTCAATTAATAATTTTGCTTTTACATAAAAAGATAGGTTCACTTTGTCCATTAAATGGGCTTGTTTATATAATACCAATTTCTTGAATAACTTACAATGTCCCATTCGAAACACCTTTTTAAAGTATAGACATAGTGCTCTCTTTTACTATTAAAACGTGTCTTTGAGATTCCACCTATCAATTGCATCAATTGCAATATGTGTGCTCTAGGAAGGTAAAATCAAGTTTATTTTTACTTTTTCAGCAATTCAAAGGGGCCAAAAAGGCCACAAGTGAATCTTGATATTTGAATCCGTTCCCCCTTTCCAAAATTCCATGGAAAGGTTAGAAATGTAATAGCTTATATATATCTAAAACAATGGCCGGATCTTTTGTACATTAGGATGTTTTTATGTAATTGTAAGATGCAGCTGTAAACTTTGTTTTCATCACTGTTTACTCTTTATAATACCCAGAAATTCAAAAATATATGTCTGTACAAACTATATATACGATGCATCATTCCGTTACGTTGAATAATGTTTAAACTTGCCTCGTTAGGAGGACAAACAGAAGTTGACGAACATGACGTCACGTCACTGTGTACTCCTTCGCAAACAACACAGGTTGAATTTGCATAAGTAACAGCTATATTTATTAAATAGAAAAATAATTTTGCATAGTTATCAAAAGCGCAAATTATGGAAGTAAATTTCTGCGTTAATTTGAAACTAAATATACATGTAAACCAAATTTCGAATATAATTGGATAGAAATTTGATTCAATAAGTATATCGCAGTTGTGATAGAATTACTTACGACCTATACCGCAAAGTTTGGCATTACACGGCCCATTATGGTCAGGGGCGTCACTACAACAACTAGTGCAGACCACTAAACGCCGTCTCCGTCTACCTTGACCACTACACACCTATAAAGAACTCAAAATTATTTTCTTCTTGTTAAATAGCTAGCTTTTAATTAAAAAAAAAAATAGATTGCTTTATTCAGATTTATACACAAATAATTCTATTAGGACTGGTCAATCTATTTGGAAAAATGGCATAATTACGGTAATCCTTTCAAAAGGCTGTAAAAGGCATTAAATTGCTATAATAAAAGCAAACAAACAAACAAACAAACAAACAAACAAACAAACAAAACAAAAAAAAAACAAAACAAAAAAAAACAACAACAAACAAACAAACAAAAAGAAAAACTCGAAGCAAAAAGGTACATCGAATTATGAATCAACAATAATTATTACCATTCATATTCGATTTGATATATCTTAGTGAACTTGAAATTAAAGACACTACAGGACATTCTAAAATAATTTGTTTCATATTTGGATTTCTTATTGACGATAGATAATATTAAAGGGACATGGACACAGTTTAATTCAAAATTTCTAAAATCAATTTCAATGCTTATAATTTGCAACCAAGTTAATCTAACGATCATGCAGTAAAAATTTGTTAATTTACATTTACAAAGGAGATGCAGAACTTAAAATTCTTCATAATGTAAACAAGGCTAATCTACAACCTTCTGTAATTGCATTACATAAAACTACCTACGAGGGTTGATAGAAAAGTAACGTCTCAGTGTCTTTATCTTTAATATTTGGCGTCATATTATCAAATTATATATACCAAAAGATGCATTAAAATAAATCTTATGGAAATTGAAAATTTAGTGTTGCCGCGTCAAAACTTAATGTCACGTTTCAAAGTGAATTTGTTTAGAATGAAAACAAACACATTAAAAAAGCATCCAAAAAGCCCCTAATCGCCCAATATTTTAAAATACAAAATTTACATTATCTAGTCCTGAAAATTTAAAGAAAGTTTTTTTTATCATTAACATTCATTGATGCTATCCTCTGATGCATTGGGAGAAGGAAATGTCGAAATGGGAAAAAAAGAGAAACGCAACAAGTTGAAATACGTTTTTGTTTCAAATTGTGAAATGGCCATTAGAATCAGTTACGATGATTATTCAAACTCACAGAGTAAAGAATGTAAATAAGAGACTTCTTTATATATGGTATGAGAGATTCTGGATGGGCTATGTGTCATTGAATGACCATATAAAGGACAGGAAGACCGAAAGATGTAAGGGCGGACTGACACGTTAATGGTATCTAACGTTGTCGTGTCACGGTTTTATATAATTTACATTCAGTGTAATTTTTTTTATGAAATCCATTAGAAACCACGACGTTCAAATCTCTAACACACGCGAAACCTTGTCACCGCGCGTTAGAATACACAGTAGGAACTATATTCATTTTCAATACTCTAGAAACACCAACAATGTACACTGTTGTGACACAATTTAATAAAAAAGTTAAACCTGTTAAATTAACGTAAAAATGCAAAAAGGTGCGTTTAAGGGCAGATGATATAAACAAAATATGGATGTCTGGATTGATATACATGTATATTGTTTGGCCTAATTTCATTGCAAATGATGCAAAGAACACATTTCTAGAATATAAAGAAATTGTTAACCTTCTCTGATGTTCAAAATTCTACCATTCAGAAACCATCCTTATTAATCTATACAAATATTTTTCACTTCAAATCACTATTTTGTGAAACTTTGAATATAAAAATGTAAACTACGCGGTAATCCTTATTCAATATACTTATTTAAACACGGTCCAAATTGTTATTTTCAAAATTTTAAAAAAGTTTGTATCATCTGTCCTTAAAATTAATTTGTCACTTTTTTTCCCTCGCAATGTTCGAATACGTTATTTAACTTTGGAAACACAAACGGCTTTTACGTCTAAAAAAACGTCAGTTTTTAAGGGCGCTAAATTCACATTAAAGATTAACGAAATAAACAATCATGAAAAGGGAAAATTAGAGAATGTAAATATAAGCATTGAATTTATATTTTTGGATGCCGTCGGTCCTATAACACACCTAGCCGTGCCCACACATTATCAAACCGCGCTTTATGTAACTCACCTGATCCCACCTCTAATGTTTTAGAGGTCTGTGCGCGTGTTTACTCTCCTCCCATTTTGTATTGTTCTATGGGCTTTGATATTGAATACTTTACCCTATCTCCATTTTCTTCAATTCAGTTTGTCGGCAAGGTCAGGTGTGTTACATGTATAAGTCCGACGAAATCCAAAAATATGAATTCAATGCTTACAAAAAAACTTTACATGGCCTGGATACTGAGTATCTAAAACATAATCCTCCATCGTATTCATGTTCTTCTTCGCCTTATAACTAAAGTCCTGCTGGATACGTTATTACAGGTGACGTAAAAATAGTTAATAATGAGGATCTTCGATTATTTATTTTAAAAGGTCCTAATTACATGTATAGGGAACCCAGATCCTTCGACTGGCGTCGGAATTTCATAAATATTATAAATTCGTTGAAAATTACGCCAGACGATGTGCCAGATATGAAAAAGAAGACGTTGACACCTTGTCAGAATGGATTATTATTGTTTGCAGCTAACTGTAAAGTTTCACGTTACGTCACGACCTTTTTCGTCAGATGCATCCAGCATAAACAATTCACGTGATTGGTCAGCTCAAATTATCAACACTGACATTGAAATAGTCTGTTGCACAAGCAACCAATCAGGGATAAAAAGAAAGTTCCAGTCGTAAAGCTTGCGGTTAGGAGGCGTGTACAAGCTGTCAACTAGATCGTGAGGTAACGTGAAACTTTACACTTACTGCAAACTATAGTAAATGTATCAGATCTATGTTAAACTCGCGTATTAAACAATTGAGGGGCAATATGAAAGCCATCTATCCTTTTGTGATCAATAATCCAGAAGTGAAAAAAGAATAAGATAGATTACATGACCAGTACGTGGTCCCTGCTGATAAAGCAGGTAACAATATTGTCTGTATAGAATAAAGTGCTGCTGATTTGAATAGAATTGTGTTTTAATAGATAATTTTTCAGGTAAATAAGCCAATGTCGAAATATGTTTGACTTTTACCAAATATTTTGTTTACTTATGAAATCATGCCCTTGATTTAAAGAAAGCAGCAGCACTTTTAAAGTTAAGAAAAATATCCTTTAAATATATTCAAAAAATTGTTAAGATCTATTCAGTGTATGCCCTTGCGACAGTACGATTTTATGAAGCATCTCGATGTAAAATATATGTAACCTGTACATAAAAACATGACATGATTAATACAATACATTCTTGTGATCGTTAATAAATAATCACACTAAACAAAGGATAAAGTTAACATTGGTATAAATCGACTATTTAAAACCTGTAAATAATATTTCGTTTAATAAGACGACGCATTTTTCATTGTTAAAAATTTCTCAAATGTATAGCTGCCTTTCACAGGACATGAAATACGTCATTTTTACCAAAAGGACGTCATGTTTACAGGTTCAACGCGATCAGTGCTTTGTTTTTAACCAGCTACATGGGATGTAATTAGAAGTTTTTTTAATACATTGATAAGTTTTATTGTTGTTTGAATGCTAATACAGTTAAAAGTTACAAATTATTTCATTTTTAGGTATTATGAGAAATACGTAAAAGTCATATTTTTGTTTGACGTCACAGTAAACTTTTCCCGTATAAATTAGGCCCCGCCTCCCTTTTCAAGCCTTAATAATGCTGCGCTGTAACTTCAACTGTGCTGCATAGGCCCAGTGGGTCTCGAGAAGAAGTCGAAAATATGAAAAACTTACAGACGTATGGAAAGACAGACAGCTAGACAGACAGACGACGGACAAAATTTGATTTAAAAAACTCACTGAATGTTTTCATTCTGTACACAATTTAACAGTGATTGCCTTATTTTTGTGCAAAGTTAAAGTTAACTACGGAATGATTCGTTGACTTAATCTATTCACGTCCCAGGGAGAAGAGGGGGTGGGGTGGGTGGGCAAAGTAAAAGAGAATATAATTCCAAACCTATACAAAAAACACTTGACAAGCAAAAGAAAAAAGAAATAAAAAAGAATAATAATAAAATGTGTCCGTTGTCTAAACGCGAAAATCCTATTTCGGGGTTGAAGGGCGGGGAGGAGTAGAATAGAACTTTTATCAGTTTCAATATTTTTTTTACAAACACTACCACTTATGTACACCCTTTTTGGGCTAAATTGCAACGAGACTGTTGAAAGTGAGGGGGGGGGGGGTTAAACCTACGCTCCAATATTCAATGACTTTGCAAAAAAAGTTGGGTTGGGGCTAATCCCCCCTAGCCCCCCCCCCCCCCCCCCCGGTTCCGATGTCTATGACAGAAAAAAACATTTATAACAGATATCCACTTATCACTTGAAAATATCCAGGCAATAACTCATTTGAATCATAAGAAGGCTGTTGATTTGTATTTTATTCATTTACTTATATGACGCATCTTTATGAATTAGAAACTTTCAAAAAATCGTAAAACAACTTAGAACCATCAATTATTTACATATGTAATATAATAAATATGCAAACCTGTTTCGAACGACACCCTGCATCGTATCTGATCACCGAGTTTTCATCCACATATTTGTCTAAATAACAGTCCTAAATCAACGACATATATGCTGTTAAAATTACATTATCCTGTCTGAAATTCAAACATACTTCCAATAAATAATCTAATGATGAAAAATTAATATTCTCCAATCAAATTGCACATGCACGTCAGTGCGTCAAAGTCCTCTGACTACATTCAGTCAGACAAATACAAGTACACATAAAACCAAAAGGATGCTGACAGGTTTTAAAATTCAACAATTAAAAATTTGCTTTTTATTATTTTTTTCTTTTCCAATTCGCTCCAACGCAGGTTAAAATGAATAGTTCCAAGCAGATTATTTTTAAGTTTCAATGTATTTTCTAATCACTCTTTATTTAATGTTTGAACAAATAATTTCGGCGAAATAAAATTAAAAATAAAAAGTTTTATAATGTGCAAAATATTGAATGATTCTCCATAAATGTAAAAGAGGAAATATAATGCTTAATTTTAACACAGGTAATTAAGTAATAGGCAACAATATTAAAATAGCAAATTGCTAAATTTAAGGTTTTTATATTAGACTTTTCTGATTACGAAAACTTCCACATTTTTCTGGAATATGTTTCAAAACAAGTTTCTACGCTATGAAATTTAATTTTCAATAGCTTTTTATTGATGCAGCGAAATTTTTCATAGAAAATTAAAAAATCATAACCAAGACCAAGCTTTAAAAATTCTTTGTTTGTAATAGCCGACCTATAACTTTTAGAGCGGGTAGGTAGGTTGGCATTCTTTCTTTTTTTTTAAATTAGTTTTTTTTAATTAGTTTTTAGATTTTTGTTAAATAACAAATAATAGAACTTTTCATATGCCTACTAAACATGAATAAGCTCCACTCTAGTTGTAAACCACTGATTGATAAAAACAAAAATCAGAAAGTATTAAATATATAACAGTTTCTATATCCTGGAAAATTGAAAGAAAAATAATAAAATAAGAATGCCTTAAAAAATAAGGTTAGGGTTGGGTCATTAGGTAACTGCAAACAAACAAATTTTTATTTTAGTCATAATAAAACAAGTACAGATTTTAGCTTAGTTGTACACCTTCAATAGCTATCACCAACTTAATTTTTTTTGTAGAGAAGAAAATCTATTCACCTCAAGGTCCCCGCATCTGACAGTATTTAAAAAACAATTTTCAATGTCTCCGGCTCCGTTACAATGCATGCAAGTTGGCCCCGCATGAATAAAACCTGTTGATTAAAATAGGATATTGGTCAAAACATATGCCATTACTCATCATGTTTTAAGATTTCAAATGCAGAGACTTCTATCAAAGAACATTTTTATACTGACACGCAAAAGAAACGCAACACCCTACTTTAGGGGGAAATAATTATGTAAAGTAAAGAATTTTGTATCTTAGAATTATTAATATCTTCAATTTGGTAAATATCGGTAATTTAACGGTTGAACGATTTTCGTACCTTATCAGAAGTCAACTTTGAGTCTGCTTAACAGAAATAAAAAATTGCCTGTTTAACAAAACATTTGGCAATAACATGGAGTTTTAAGGGTTTGTACTGTTCATCTTAAGTAATGCAGCAATAGTTTTAATAGATACAATCTCCTTTCGTTTCCCGTAACGATGCTAAGGCTTCTCGAAAATGGCTTAAGTACGCATTTCCATTCCAAAGTTGATGATGCAAAAATACATTTTATGTATTCTTATGCTTATATGCAAGCTCACCGCAGCTTGTTTTTGCTAATTTTGTATAAGTCAAATAAAACACTTTCATAGAGATGATTAATGTCATTTATTAAAATGACGGTATAAATGTGAACAGTTTAACAAACAAGAAGGGGATCAGATTCACAAGCTTTGATTAGCAGTTACGTAAAATATGATAATGTCTGATCCCCCAAAACTGACTAGAAAAAAGTATCTGTAAGACAAGACAATGAGAACATCATATGAAAAAGTTAGCAAAAAGATGGCACATAAAAACAAAATAGGCCTAGCCCAAGGATAATAGTGAAACAAAATACATAAAAACAGTATAAACAAATCGAGTCAGAACTAATGAAGCATATGATTTTGCATGACACACTAACACCTATTTTAAGGGGTAGGAAGGCAGGGGTGGAGGGGGGTCTTCAAAATAGACGTGCCTCTAATTTTAGCGTGGTCAGCAGGCGGGTTATCACAATACAACTGAATGACTCGCTGAGCTGACCACGTGACCTTACACCTTCTATCACACGTAATCCATCAACCAAGGCGTGCATCTAAGAATTCTCAACGGGGTCTTATGTATCATATGCATAAAAGACAGTCCTTGGACCGGATGTTCAAATGTTACTAAAATGTGCTAAGTTAGAGAAAATGCGACCTAATCATCTGAAAAACAGGCATTTAAAAATGGCAAAGAATAATTCCTTCGCTCAAATCTCTATATTGATTAACGTATTGTATCGAAGAAATTAAGCTGCAATTGTTGTTTAGGGCAGTCTTGCATGTTGTAATTTAATGGCTGGGAGGGGGTGTTTTAACAGTCATATGTTACTTAGTAAAGTTAAAGGATAAACATTTAACATTTTTATCAAATCTCTCATGTTCTAAAAAGTGTTTTTAGCATTACTGTATCCTTTTTTGGAAATCATTACTAGATAAAAAATTCAAACATTTGTTGAGTAGTGCTTGTTGCGTTTCTTTTGCGTGTCAGTATATAAAAAACTTACCATAAAGGATGAAAAACGTGCAAGTGGCAAGTACTAGAAATATTAAATAAAATTAATTATAACAAGGTAAATGTTAGCATCTAAGAAAAGATTCTTAATATTACTAGAATTAATATCGGCTATAAAAAAACGGTATGAAACATTAAATAACTAGTCTTTATGAATTACAAACAAACTGCGTATGAATACATTGAACTTAATAATACCAGTGATTGTATATCAGTGTACGAGGGTGTGTTATTGAACACAGTATTTGATTTTACGAATAGCTTGTATGCATTCGTAAAAATAAAAGATAATTACAGAACTGAGGGATACCACAATTTACATGCCTTTTCTTCCTTCTATTGTTATTTTGATTCGATTCATTTTCAAAACTATTTGAGAATTGTATCTTAGAATGTTGACCATAAACTCAAATTCTATTTTAATGCTATCAAATGAATACTGAATTATAAAGACAACCTGCCTAGGGCGTTGAAGCTTTGGCTATAGTCATCGTAGGTCCTTTAAACAAGTAATTCTCAAAGTAAGTGTTAAAATAGTGGTTGGCCCTCTTGAAATATCATTGTTTGTTGAAATTTACTAAGCTGGTTGCAAAGGCAATCTGTAAGTCTTGCTCTTCCCATAAATAATTCTAGTTGAATTTCATTAAAGCATAAAGGGATTTAATTCATTCAGCATTGCCAAAGATTTTATTTGTTTAAAAATCATTTTGTGATTTCTTAAAAATTTAATTACATCTTTTAAAAAATTGATTTTTTTAGACCCGTAAATTGTTTTAGAAACATATATGTTTTTTAATATCAAAAATGGAATCTGTATGCAGCTTTCAACTTAAATTCAATGATACTCTGATAAGAGAGATAACTCTAAATGACATAAATGTCTATTATTGCTTTATAGATTTGCTAAGTTGAAGTATCTTTTTTTGTCCAATTTTGCCCCACAAGCTATGCTATAATTGTTTGTATTTAACTTATAAAATACTTTTCTTTTGGAAAATTATTAAGGTTCAAGCAACATTTTATATGCATGAGCAGAGGGTTTATGACCATTACATGAAACGATCCTCAATGTTGAATAATTTAACTTATAATCAATTATATCTTAACAATCCTAAACTGAAAACTCATCTTTTCTAGTTACAAATTCTTTCGTTCACAAATTTATCCAAATAATCAGGCCAGAAAACGAAACTGATTTCTGTAATTTATCAATACTTACTTGTCTTCATATTTCCTTACTTTTAATTTTAAGACCAATACTTATCTTTCGTTACAAATTTAAGACACTGTACATGTATTATTATGCAACTGACATGTAATGTCAGCGGAGTTCAAGTTTGAATATCTATCTTATGCGAATAACTGTTACAGTGGCCTAAAAATTGAAATGAAACGCGTCAGCAAAAATTCAGCCTTAATTATGGTTTTTTGATAAGAGTATTATCATAACGACCACATAGTTAACGATATATTGACTTTTTACAAGGTTGATAAAATCCCTTTAACATCAGCTTAGATGTCTGTAGACTGTCTGGACTTTTAAAGTCCATTGTATTTAAGTATGCTCTTGAATAAAAAAAAAAGGTAAAATTCGTAAAGAGGATATAACTTTATTTAAACAGGAAAGTTGACGCTCATAAAAGTGATCTCGTAGAACGAGAAGTTCCATAAATTGGTTATTAAAAATACGCAAACTGTGCATTAATGTTCTCTCTACAACCATTTGTTGAGAAAATGTCTTAATTTTGCACTTTTAAATGATAATTTCAAGTTCAAAACAATGTATCGTTGTTTTCAAAAAGAGTGTAAAGAACCATGAAAGTAGTTCATGGATAGCAGCACGTGGTCTATTTTTAGTACAGAATTTTGTTTATCAGACCTCTTCTTAATATGGAGGGACATAACAATCTCTAAATGTAGAAGAGAATTACAGTTGCAAAATATTTCAAATAATATGAACACTTTTAAAAGAGGAAATGTGTTATAGTGTTTCTTTAAGTTATTTATTATTTAGTATTATTATTGTACAGTTGTTAAATAGTGTACGTATTGATAAAAAAAAACTTAAACTCTTTGATTCCAGGTAAGGAAAAATGAGCACAATCAAAGTTAAAAATTAAGAGTTTGTAAGTTTGCCACAGATAACTTATAATATCTATCAAAAGTTTAATTATCACCATTGAAACACAAAGAAATTAAACACATAAAATCGATATGAATGACCGTGTTTTAGTACCTACCAGTAAGAGGGGTGATCAAAAAATTCGCGAACTATCTCGATACATGTGTATCTATAAAAAAAAAATCAGATTAGAAACAAATTTGGTGCAGACATAGTCAAACACAAGTTCTGTAAATAGCATATGCTGAATAGAGTTTTGCTCACAATGTGAAAATGACGTCATTATGCAGCTACTTGTCACGAAAAATGGTTGTCTCAGTGGAACTCGTTCAACAAACGACTAAAATATTAATGGTATATCTTAAAAATGCCTTTGAAGTAGCTATAAGAATTTGTTCACAATATTTTAAGACAAATGACTTCCTATAAATTCAATCAATGATTGGATAGATCGTTTTAGTGAAGGAAGGCAGATGGTTAATATGATACTTGTTATGTTGCCCGGTGAAAGCAAGTTTGAAAAGGGATGTGTTTTAAATTAAGCAATATGCTATCAAAGACCTCCAATTTACACTTTGAAAAATACTTGAATATTTCAACAATAATACAACTATCAAATGCCTAAAATATCGTTTACTTTTTGATCACCCCTCGTATACAATTTCATTACAGCGGAGCAACATTGGAAAATGAATGAAATCATTCAGCGTGGGTTAGAGGATTTAATGAATAAAAAAAACTTTTTTTCTATTTGCCCGTTTTGTCAAAATTACAATTTAACAGAGTAAAAAAAATCAACATAATTAAATATTTTATACCATCTTTAAAATGACGTTTGATGGTCCTCCCAACTCAGGGAAAAATTATTGGGTCGGTATTTATAGGTGAGAAAAAAATTCCTTAAAATTTAAACATATTTGTTGACGGAAGAAAAAAAAATACCGTGTAATGGGATGTAAAAAAAATGAGTCGGGCCATTTCTAGGCAGTAGATCGGGAGAGAGGGCAACCAAATATTTTTAAAACAAATGGTCCTATAAGGCTAGTACATGTTCCATCACATAATTAGTAATGCAACTTTTTGTAAGTAATGTAACTTTTTGAATCTTTGGCACTATTTTGAAAAACAAACATAGGATTTTTCTTTGGGGGGGGGGGGGGGGGCTATAGCCTCTCACTGTTTTTTGCGATGATAGACATAGCATATGCAATGGACCTTTCTTTGCAAACATTGTTCTTGCTTTTAAATTTCAAAGAAACAGCTTCGCGAGAGCTTACAACGTTGATAACATAATGAGACATGATGCTTTTTTATGTCCAAACATTACTCCATACAATGTGTGGGTCATTGCAAACAATCTAGCTATTTATGTGAGGTGCCTGAAGGAAATCTTATAACTGCCTATTTTTCTGTCTAACTGCTGAACAAAATAAACATATGTACCAACTTTTCGAATGTAAGACATGTAATTACAATTTGTTTTTCATGCACTGCATATTGTTTAACTTTTTCAAATTAAATGCTAAGCATCCTCCTTGCAGTGCCCCATTTGAAAATAACTTCTATCGCCACAGAAAAAAAGACCCGACGTAAACACATATGTTTAGGACATTTTTTATCTTTTTTCTTGAGTTTTAAAGAAATCAACAAATTATCAAGACTTGTTCCATGAAAAATTAAATATAATCATGGTAATAGACGCATCTATCCACAGCAGATATATGCACAGGCCAAGCACGTGCTGAGTGGAATAATATTAACAAGGAAATTCGAGCTGTAAACAGAACAGTTTTTCCCGATTTGCTGGAGTGGGGTTAAAATCGCGTTTTTTCATTATTCAGTCGATGCGATGCAACAAATAACAGTCGTAAGTAATATAACATAATGATTATTACTTATCAATTTCTTGTCTTGATGTTATTATGGTCGCATTTATTCTAAAATCAATGTTATTCGAACTCTGTGTGACAGAGGAATGGCGGACGAAATAAACACATGGCCTCAGGAAGACACCCATATGAAAAATCAAATTTTCAAGAATTATGGATAATGACAAGAAAAAAGCGAAACAAATGGTTGTAGCCATATTATCAATGAATCAAACTAACTCCATTTTCAATGCATTTTTCATCTCGTGAATGCTGTAACTGCGCAGTTCTAGCATGATTAATTTCCTCCTAATTAAAACAAAATAAACTTAATTATTTACTAATTTTGGTCTCTAACAGTAGGTTATTAGTGCATTAACACTTTGAGTAACTTTGGGCTAGTGTAGTAGTGTATTAAGCGCATTCTTGGTATTTCTTATTTTACACCAGACTAGATCCAGTATGGCTTGTACATCCCCCTTAAGTACCTCTGCGTAGAATAATTTTTACGGAAGTTATTTTGTTGGAGACAAACACAAGAATAAAATAAAATGGTGTAGTTCCACTTTTATCATAAGGTACTTAACAAATAATATATTAAGTGTATTTACACAGCTCCGTATACTTTCGAACGTCATTGCACAAATTAAGACACAATTTACTTGTAATAAAAATTTACATTTTTGAAGTTCATTTCAACGACAAAGCCCTTATTTGTTCATGTATTAGATGTAATAAAGAGCGATTTATCTTATATACATTTACTACAGATTTAGTCTGTCAATTTGGCGTCCGATTGAAATGTTAAAATTACCCGAACTGCAATAATTTATTTCATGTTTTCGTCCTTACGGTTTTCCAAATAATTTAATAAGCTTGTATTTCAGATGGACTGACCTCATATAATACCATTCTTTTTATAGCTCGCCTATAAGTCGGGCACAGAGTTTTGGACCAGAGATTGACTCCCAAAACACCGACTTATAGGCGAGGACAAATCACTAAATTTGCCTCTCGCTAAAATTTCCA